AGGGGAATCCCCTTCCATTAGGACTTGAGGTAGAAGTCCCTTTTCCCCGGGGTTACCTCCCTTCTCTTTTAATCCCCTAGGACCCGCTTGAGAGCACGGACTTCTGTCCACAAAATAACTGGAGCCCCCATGCCTAATCACACATGTATGCCATACGATTCTTAAAACTTTCAAACCCAACCCTTTTTGGCCCTTAAAATTTACTCACACACCACTAGGGTTTAAGGCCAATTGCTTTACCAAATGCATGCAACTGCCCAGCTTTTCCAAATGACGCTTGAGAGATGCTATCTCCTGCTATCTGTTTTTCATTTATCCACACCAGTAACAATCTCTCAACATTTTCTAACACTTGCGGTCACTGTTTCGTAATCACAGTTGCACCTTTTGCAAGAACAGCTTCCTTGATTGCCGTTTTCCTGGTCACTATAGTAGAGATGGTTGATTGGGGTTTATTATACAACCTGACCAGCTCCGACACATGCACTCCACTTTCGTACTTTGCAATTATCTCTTTCTTCATTTCATAAGTCATTAGCGACTTTTTTCTCGAAGGGTTGGCACTAGAAGATTTCTTGGAGCCCATGGTGACTTATTTTGCAGAAACAAGCACCAAACCAGTGATATAATGGATAATATGGAATGTACCGAATGTATCCTTAGATGCGCGTACACTGGCTGGCTTGTAAACACTAGCACACACGGAGCAGTTCAGGCCACACGTGGACAGGTCTCGTACGAATCGTATCGAATACCGGGTTTTCAATCGAATACCGAGGAAAATTTTTTGCGTTAAAATGCATCGAAAACCGGATTTATCGAATACCGATGCCATTGAATACCGGGGGTCCACTGTATATGCGCTCTGGTAGTGTGCCATATGCTATTCCAAGGGGAAGGAGTACATCCCGTAGCTGTACAACAGGAACAGACAGTGAAAATGACGATGATAGTGTTGCAATTGGGATGGAAAATGTGCATGGTGGTGGTAGTGGTGGTGCCGGCCATGAGGCACCAGCAGTGGGTCATGCTGCCACCCATGCCGCTGCCTCAGCTGATCTACAACAAAGGCCACCATCCCCCACCCACCCACCACACCAGCCTCCACAATCACAACCACCAGTCAATGTCCAGTACCCACCAGCAGACCGCACCTGGGATTGGCAGGAAGCTGTCAATTTTGTTCCAAATCCCCACCAGTTTGATGAAGGCCAAAGTGGAATACAACCATGTTGTACACTGGGGAACAATGCCAGTGAACTGGAATCTTTCGAGTTATTCTTTGACGAACCCCTGATGGAAATTATTGTCAGGGAAAGCAACACATACTACGAGTACACCATGGCAAACACAATACTTTCACCAAAATCATGTCTACACAAGTGGAAGGAGACAACTGTGGCTGAGATGTATCTTTTCTTTGCCACAATAATGCTTATGCCACATGTGTATAAGCACAGTGTGAAATCATACTGGTCAACAGACCGCCTGATTGCAACCCCAGGTTTCAGTGATATAATGCCAGTGAATCGATTTGTGCTAATGTTAGATATGTTTCACTTCTCAGACAAAACCAGGCCTGACAGAAACGACAGATTATATAAGATTAGGAATGTGTTTGCGTATCTGAAAGAGAAATTCAATATGTATTTTTATCCCTTCAGAAAGCTTGTAACTGATGAGTCTTTGAATCTGTTCAAAGGAAGACTCTCTTTCAAGCAGTACATATCAAGCAAGAGGAAATGCTTTGGTATAAAGTTGTTTGTGCTTTGTAATTGTTACAGTGGTCTTGTATTCGATATTATTGTGTACACTGGAAGTTATACACTGCAAAATACCAGGAAGTTATTGGGCATCTCTGGTGATGTGGGTAGAACAATGATAGAACCATACCTTGGTAAGGGGCATATATTATATACTGATAACTGGTATACAAGCCCCTCACTCAGTGATTTTTTGCGAGTGAACATGACAGATGTGTGTGGCACAGTGCGTGCAAATCGTAAATATATGCCCAGGGTTGACGCTGGCACTCGTAGAGGTGAGGTGCAGGCGTTTGCTGCCAATGACATCATGGCATTTCGGTGGCATGACAAACGAGATGTCACACTGTTGTCATCAGTTCACTCTAACAAAATGACAAACACTGGCAGGCAGCATAGAGACAGCAATGAACCCATTCTAAAACCTGCAGCTGTGATTGATTACACCCTCAATATGCACTCAGTGGACAAATGTGACATGCAGATTGGGTTTGCTGATTGTGTTTGCAAGAGTTATAAGTGGTACATAAAACTCTTTTTTCCATCTTCTGGACATTTCCATGCTCAATGCTTATAATATGTATAAGATGAGGACCAGAAACAAACCACCATATGGCAAATTCTGTTTGTCTGTCATCAGACAAATAGTATTCAAGTACCAAGGAACAACACCTGCAATAGACCGCCCACTAAATTATCAACAACTACCTTCTCGTCTGAAGCATGGTGATCACTTTCTAGTAAAACTGCCTGCTACTGCTTTCAAGAAAAAGGCTCAGAAGAGGTGTTACGTCTGTGCACATACAAAAAATGCCCACAACAACGCAGAGACACTCGTTTTATGTGTGAGGAGTGTAAAACACCACTGTGCATGACACCATATTTCAAAGACTTCCACAGGCTGCAGAGCTTCTAGAAACATTTCCTGTGACTGTATATGTGTATATAAAATATAGAAAAATAGTAATAAACAACATTTCATATCGTTTGTTTGTGTAAATATTTTCTGTAAACAAAACAGTGACAACAGTGTTTATGCAGTTATTATGTAGTATAGAAAAAGAAATAACTTACAAAATAGTGATCATATTGGTCTCACAGGCCATAAAAGTTACTTGAAAAAAAAAATTTAAAAATAATAGAAAATAGTACCTAAAAAATAAATAAAGTAATACCGGGTGACCGGCAGTCAGCGGTGTTACCACATACCGGGCATTTTCTGTCAACTTCACGCCTCCATATCTTGGTAAGTATTGATGGTAAATTTTTTTTGTTTAGCCTATAAGATTTAAAAAAAAAAACTATCTTTTCATAAGAAAAAATAATTTTTTTTTTTGAAATTTTGGCGACCCTGAAAGGGTTAAAACCCATTTGTCTCCATTCACTCCTACTAAATACGCTCACGCATGCTTGCTGGAAGTCCAAGCTCTTCACACACAAAACCTCCTTTACCCCCTCCCTCCAACCTTTCACAGGCTGACCCCTACCCCGCCTTCCCTCCACTACAGATTTATACACTCTTGAAGTCAATATATTTTGTTCCACCCTCTCTACATGTTCGAACCACTTCAACAACCCCTCCTCAGCCTTCTGGATAATAGTTTTGGTAATCCCGCACCTCCTCCTAATTTCTGAACTACAAATTCTCTGCATTATATTCACACCACACACTACCCTCAGACATGAAGACATGACATTTCCACTGCCTCCAGCCTTCTCCTTGTTGCAATATTCACCACCCATACTTCATACCCATATAACTATACTCTCATACATTCCCCTCTTTGCTTCCACGGACAAAGTTCTTTGTCTCCACAGACTCCTCAGTGCACCACTCACCCTTCTCCCCCTCATCTTTCATAGACCCATCTGCTGACACAGCCACTCCTAAATATCTGAATACATTCACCTCCTCCAATCTTTCGTTGCCTCTTTTTGCTATCCTTATCACTTTACTCTTTTCTATATTCACTTTTAAATGTCTTCTTTTACATACCCTACCAAACTCATCCACCGACCTCTGCAACTTCTCTTCAGAATCTCCCAAAAGCACAGTGTCATCAGCAAAGAGCAACTGTGACAACTCCCACTTTGTGTTAGATTCCTTATCTTTTAACCCCACACCTCTTGCTAAGACCCGCACATTCGCTTCTCTTACAACCCCATCCATAAATATATTGAACAACCACGGTGACATCACACATCCTTGTCTAAGGCCTACTTTTACTAGAAAATAATCTGCCCTCCCTCTATTTTTTTGTGTGAATAAAAATTCAAAATGTAAAGCAAGTGTAACATGAAAGGCATGGAGAAGTAACTAAGGAACAGAGGAATGTTTTTCAGTGCCAGGAATGTCTACATTTTTTATTCTGGGACCTATTTTTTAAATTGGCAATCACTGATTTCTGATCACTTTACTGGGTAGTTGAAATAGGTAAATGAGCAGTTTCTTGTACTATACAATGCAAAGTGGGCAAAACTGCCAATGAATAAATATTGCTGAGACTGCTAACTTTGCGAGAGCATAATTCCGTAAGCTTTCCATCAAATTTTGGTTTCACTACCCTTGGAAAAAAATTCACTATCATTTCACAAGAAAATATAACAATTTTTTTTTTTTTAATTTTGTGACCCTGAGAGGAAGTCTGAGAGTAGAAGTCGCGACCCTGAAAGAGTTAATTACATCCCCAGACCTCTTCTATATATTACATTTGCCTTTCATTTTGGATTCATGATCACACAAAAATAGAAGATTTACTCTAGTTCTTCTATAATAAAATATAACCAGGAATGGTTGGTCATGGTTTATAGTGTCAAAATAATTGAATCAGACCTATTAATAACCCATAAAATGGACCGTGCATGTAGGGCAGCCTTACCCATCTTCATAAAAATCAGAAAAAATAAAATATTTCTCTTACTTTGATCTTAATTTCAAGTTACTTCTGAGCCTGAAACCAGCCAAAATCATTTTTGTTTTAGTAATGCGTCTTCCATTCTCTCAAATGAACCAAGATTCAGCCAATAAAACCTCAAATTTGCTATTTTAAATCATACACACTGTATGGGGCAGGAATTTTTTTTATACTGTACACACTCACCACAGACCAATTCCCTCATAATTTGGCAAAAATTTACTACTCACAGCTTACCTGAATGAGATGAGATCATGATGCAGAACTACGTGAGGGGCCACTGAAAGAGTTAAACACAAAATGGATAAATAATATCACAAACCTTGTTCAGTTTCTGCCTTTAACCGAGACAGATTGCAGGGGTTAGACTGTTTAGGCAGAGGCTGGACATCCAAAATAGCAAGGAGTTCTCTTGACTTGCCTACTGTTGTAAGAGCAACCACCAGGGGAGACAGGAACCTCAAGATAGTTTTCCTGTCAACACAAACAAAACCATGTAAAAAACAGTTTTATACATCAGATTCAGAAATTGTATTTAATTCTTAATTAAAAATCAACATCTATAAACAAGGAAGTAAGATAACTGACTGACTGAGAGTAATTCCATCTCTATCTTTCTAATCTTGTTTCTGCTAGAACCTGTATGTGACTGTCTTGAGGGATCTTCCACCCTTATAGCCTAGCCTGAGGCCAGACTCTCTTGCTGCCTGGTTAACCAGGCTGTTGCTGCTAGTGGCCCACAGGCCTCTATAGCCCAAACAACCTGGTGAATTTGGCACTTGGAGCAGCTAGTTTAGTTTTTACCTGTAAGGAACTACCATGAGAGAAAAACCTCTAGAGAGCTGTGTATACTTTTCTAGCCTCCTCGTTTCCTCTTTGCACTCATTAAATCTACACCCTATGTATGGTTCAGCTTTCCCTCTCCAGGATTTCTGTAAGTACTACCATCCATCATCCTCACTCAATGTCTATACCATTATGAAGTATTATTCACCAGGACTTTTGTCCTGGAAGTGGGAAGTACAGTGCCTGCACTGGGAATGTTGAAGTTTGGAGGTCTTTTTTTTTTTTTTTGGAGGGGCGGGGGGAGAGAGAGGGGGTGCCATCCTACATTGGTGGAAGTACTCCTAGCCACAGGTGATGCTATGTCTATTTACTCACTTGTCTAGTTCTTGAATCAATGGTGCTTACCCTTACTCTGATGTAACTAAGTAAGTAAATAAGTAAGTCAGTGTCAGTCAGTCAGAGTGAGTGAGTCAAATTGAAAACCCGTCATTCTATATACAGTGGACCCCCGGTTAACGATATTTTTTCACTCCAGAAGTATGTTCAGGTGCCAATACTGACCGAATTTGTTCCCATAAGAAATATTGTGAAGTAGACTAGTCCATTTCAGACCCCCAAACATACACGTACAAATGCACTTACATAAATACACTTACATAATTGGTCGCATTCGGAGGTAATCGTTATGCGGGGGTCCACTGTATATATATATATATATATATATATATATATATATATATATATATATATATATATATATATATATATATATATATATATATATATATATATATTATATTTTAACTACTGTACTACATTTTCCTTTTATAAATCAGGAGAAGCCAATGCAATGCTTCGTAAATCCTTTTATCTTACTAGAATCAACTAAAGAACCGTTTTTGGTTGGCATCTACAAGATACTTACCATAATAACATCTGCTCAAAGTGTGTCCTTGCCTCTATGAACATCACTGTTTTGTTGCAACACCCTCCTCACACACTCATGCCACCAAGAAGCTACACTCCACCTTCCTTATTTATTCAAATTTCTGCTTAACATTCAAATTTATATGCTTCATCTTGGCACTATCACTAGCTTTAGAAAACAAACAGAGTCATGACTTAATTCAAAACTTAAGTTATGAATTAAATCAAGAATTAACTCTTTTGCAGTCAGTGTTGTAGTACTACAGTTTTGAGGTCAGTTTCTGTGCCATAGAACTACCTGATGAACTCAGCTCACTCAGATAAACTGTGAGTGGGTAAATTTTGGCCTAAATATGAGAGAATGGGTCTATGAAGTGAGTGTGCACCACATTAAAGAAATCCTGCCCCAAGCAGTGAATGACGAGAGAAAAAAAACAGCGTGTTTATGGTTTAAAATAGCAAACTTTGCAGTGTATTTTTAGATAGTTTTTATGTTTTTTTTTTTTTTATATCATTTGATAGAATGGAAGATATATTATAAAAAAAAAAAGATGTTTTTGATTGGTTTTAGGACTGGAAGTAGCTTGAAAATGAACTGAAATTAGTGGAAATATTCAACTTTTGCCATATTCCAGGACACAATGCCTAAATATTCTTAAGAGATGCAAATGTTTATAGTGTTTGTTCCAAAGACACAAGGCTCCAATACAATACATTTGATACTTACATTGGGTCCTTTGCATCCGAACTTTGTTCATCCTTCTGAAGACTAACTGTGAAAGCTTCACCCCAAAACCTTTCATCATTGGCCTTGACAGATTCGTCCCTGTTTAAAAATAAAGTCAAGAAAAAAGTATTAAGAGAGTTCTTGTCTTTTAGACCAAAAGCATAAACGATAACATTTTTAACAAAGATTACATTTTCAGCTTCCTAACAGGAGAGCAGTCCATGGCTTCTCATCCATTCACTCCCATTCCTGAACACTGACACACACACAGTACCTTACTTCTCAATGTCTCTAACATCCATACCCCTCTTCAATACTGTCCTGTCTAATTCATGAAATATCCCTGGTTATTGTACCTCCATTTCACAATCATAATTTTGTGTAATATCTTTCCATTGCTACTCGTCGTATCACATGAAGGAATCTTTTGGCAACCAGCAAAAAACTCAAACTGGTGTGGAGCAAGCAAACTAGAAAGATGCTAACTGGCAGAGTTAAGTAGAAATGAACTGACAAAAACTGAGCAGGAAGTAATCAATCATTGCAACACCACATTCCCAGGTCTGGTAAAGTCTGCCACTGTGGTAACTAGTGAGAAAAGAATACTAAAAAAGAACTGATTGTAGTGTTTCCATACCTTATTTTGTAATTAATCACATTTTTTTTTTAACCCCTTAACTGTCCAAGTGTTGATCTCCGTTTCCACTGCTAGCGCTCTGATTTTTTTTTTTTTTTAAACAAAGAGGGCAATTTTCTGTGTATAATAAGACAAAAAAAAAAATTAGCACCAGTACTTATTGAGATGCAAGGTGGTGAAGTTGGCATTGGAGGTTCACCTGACAGCAACATGGAGTCCAGTACGCTGAGGCCAGTGGTCACGTGTGGTCATACTTGCCTAAGCTCTTGGGAGTTAGTGTGGGCTGTTACCAAGCACCATGGTTTGTTGTAGTGCTCTTGAATCTCAGGTTCAAGTATTGAAGAAGGAGATTCTACTTCTTCAGGAGGAAAACAGGAGGCTGAAGCTTCGCATAGATGAGTTTGGGAGCGAGTGTGAGAAGGATTTAGCTGGTAAGGTAGGAATGGTCACCAGCAGTGATAGTGGCAGCCACTTTAAGTGGCAAGTGGTTCACAGTTCAAGAAGAAGGAAGATGAGGAGAGTTAATAGAGAAGATGTGAAGGTAGGAAATCGATTCTCTGTTCTCCAAGACGAGTGTACTTCAGTGGTTAGTGAGGGTGAAGGTACCACTGATTCCCCTGCTAATCAAGGTAAGAATATTTTAATAGTAGGCGATTCTCAGGTAAGATATATGGACCGTGCATTTTGTAACAGAGACAGAAAGGTCAGACAGAGAGTGTGTCTTCCTGGAGCTGGTGTTGGTGACATAGTCAGCAGGTTGGATAATATTATGGCAGGTAATGGGAACAAGCCCATTATCTGTCTTAGTGATGGAGGTAATGACATTGGGAAGGGCAGGAGAGAGGAGCTGCTGGATAAGTACAGGTCAGCCATAGAAGTAGTTAGGTCTAAGGGAGGGATCCCAGTCATATGTAGCATCTTGCCTAGAAAGGGAGCTCAATTTCAAGGTACTTTTCATTGTAAAACCAGTCAAAATCATCTCAATTTCTGTAATATGTCTTCCATTCTATAAAATGAGACCAGGAAAACTAGAATATAACAATAAATATCACACGAAAATATAGTGCAAAGTCGCTGTTTTAACCCTTTCAGGGTCCGTCCCGTAGATCTACGGCTTTACGTTCAGGGTCCAAACCGTAGATCTACGCCATGAGCTCAGCTCACTCTGATAAACTGTGAGTGGTACATTTGGGCCTAGATATGAGAGAATACATCTATGTGGTATGTGTGCACCACATAAAACAGATCCTGCAGCACACTGTGTATAATGAGAGAAAAAAAATGAAATCATGATTTTTTGATCTTAAAACAGAACTTTGCAGTTGTTTTTTTGTTATGTTTTTTATAGTTGTTGTATTTGCGATTTTCGTGGTCTCATTTGATTAGAATGGAGGACATATTACAGAATGTAGAGATGATTTAGATTGGTTTTAGCACTGGAAATGGCTTGAACTGAGCTCAAAGTAGCGGGGAAATGTTAAATTTTGCCGAATATTCAAGGAGTAAACAAACGGAACTCACACATCTATACTCGTCAGCTGGTGGGGTCTAATATACCATTACAAATATGGTGATGATATTTATACAATTATTACCAGTTTTGCTAACAGTAAATCTTCTATTTTTTGGTGTGAATAAAAATTATTTATGTGAATAAAAAAATCAAAATGGAATTTATTTGTAAGCTCCAAAACATAACTAATGAAGAGAGGGAATGTTAGTTTAGTGCTCTAGGAATGCCTACATTGTGCATTCTGGAGACCCTATTTTGAAATTTGAATATTTAGAACTTTGTGTTTAAATTGGCCAAAATAACATTTTACGATCACTTTATTTTGGTAGTTGAAAAACAGTTGACTCTGGCGATTTTTGTGCTTCAATCTGATAAGAAATAGAAGTAATACTAGTGTAATAGCTAAGAATTTGGTGATTGGAATAATGTTATTGGCCTAAAAATGGGAAGGTCAAATTCGGCAAAATGCCCCGGATTCATAAACATCGCTGACACATCAAATTCACCGAGAGCATTTATTTCGTCCAATTTTCCACCCCCAAAAATTTCGTTCTTTTTGTTTTTATTACCTTCACAAAAAGATTCTCTACGTTTTCATAAGGAAAAATAATTTTTTTTTGGAATTTCTTGGGGGACACTGGTGACGTGACTCCAGCTCGCGCGCGGGCCTTGGACTCACGCGCTCTCCGGGGTTAATCCCAAAAATCGCACCGGTCAGTAAGTTTTTTTTCTCATTATTCACTGTGTGCGGCCCTGGATTTTTTTTTATACTCGCAGCACTCACTGACCAATAAAAAATAAAAATATGTATAGTTTTTTGGAATTTAGTTTTTAAGGTGGTTTCCCTAAAAATTTTTCCCTGTGTGGGTTTTGTGCAGGTGATACTTTATCTTTTTGTTTGGGGGACTCTGTAGCTCTGTTACCAAAATGAATAAAGTGGGTTTTCCCAATTTGAGAGTTAGTTTGTTACCCTCACCGGGTAGTATTTTCTGAAATTCGGATTCTCGTATTGGCTAGCATGAGGGCCCTCGGGTAGAAAAGGACGTTGTAGTGTCCTGAAATGTGTGGGTTTGATAGTTGCATGCATTTGGTAGTCTTTTATGAAAAACGAGAAAGGACGAGGGCCAAGGACATTTCCCCGTGGGACCCCAAACTGTAAGGGCTTTGGGGAAGGTTTGCCCCATTTGTGTAACAATTGGCTTCTGTTGCGGGAAAGACTTTAGGTATTGGGGGAGTGCCCCCTTTTCCACTGCGCAATTTTATGTGGGCAAGTCTGGTCAACACATAAAAGTTTTACGAAACAATGAATTTATAGGCAAGAAATATTTAACTTAGGGGGGGAGAGATTTTTGTTTAATTTATTTGATGGAGGAGAGCGGGGCAGAGGTTTTAAGGGTGGTGGAAGATACAGGGCAGCATATGCTCAGGGGCCCCTATACCCTCCCCCAAAACATTGGGGGTTATTGTGTAGTTTTTCATCGCTTAATCTTTTAACTTATTGCACAGTGTTAATGCACACTTCACATGGCTGGCGTATAGCCTTTATCAATCCCTGCGTTTTAGTATCGTGCATTTGTAGAATCACTGAAGAAGGCACATTCTCCCCTCTCTCTTTGTCCCCATTTGGTATTTTGCAAGGGTTTTTTTCTTGAATTTTATCATTTTTCTTTCCTTTTTTACCAAACCCCCGGTACAGGAGCTTTCTTTGGACCATGGTGGCTTATTAGCAGTTGCAAGCACAAAAAAACAATAAAATTATATGAAATGATTGATACCCGTGGGGTGAGGGTCACTTGCTGATAAACAAGGCACAATAGTGTGAAGGGTGCGGGAGACTGGCTTTGGGCGCGCTGACACGGGGAGCTGCTCCAACGCAACAACGTCGCTGAATCACTAAGCCAATTCATAAACCCGGAGGCTATATTTTGCTGAAAAAATTTTCCCAAATCGGATTTCACGAAAGTGCGGCTGCCAAAAGGGCGGGGGTCCATGTACAGTTTTTCCCTAACTTTCCCTCTGCCCGCAACCACCCCCTCCATCAAAAAAACAGCATGTTTTTGTATTTAACGTGTTTCTTATAAAATTTTTGAAGAAAAAATCAAGAGGTCAATGAAGAAGCTTTTGACGTAAAAAGTCATTTAACCCTTTGGGCTTTCCCGTGATTACGGTGGTGGGTGGTTCCAAACCGTGTCTACCCCAAAAAATTTCTAGCCCCGCAAATTTAGCGAAAAAGACTCATAGGCCTACAAAAAGAGAGAATGGGTCTGCGCCGTGGGTGTGCGCCGAAAAACAAAAAATCTAGGCGCCTGCATGCTTTGTGGGAACGCTGGCTCAGTCACCCTTGTTCACCATGCCTCGTCGCGTAGCTCTCACCCCCCCGGAAAATGGGACTCCCCTTTTTCCTGTCTGATAGTTCTACACTGATGGAAGTGGAAATGAAGAAAAATTCTACGGTTTTGAAAATTTTAGTGCCCCAAAAAATTGCCCAGTTATCATAATAGTGCAGAAACCCCGCGCCTCGCCCTTCTACCTCGGTGGGGGCCCTTTTGATCACGGTGGGGTTTTCCTAAACGTAAGAGAAAACAATTTTTTCCGTGGCCGGGCCTTGACTTCAGAAATGACGATGATTCTGACGTGGATTGTGATTTTTTTTGCGCTCGACGATTCAGTAGTAAGTGAGGAAACTTTTAACCAGTGAAGGTGGGTATGTTCACTGCCGCATGCCTCGGGTAGTGTACCCTAGCTGTCCCCCAGGGGAGGGAGACACCCCCGGATCACCCCGGGTCATCCCAGAGTACATCCCGTGGCCCTACCCCCGTTTAGGTATGATAGTGGGATGATGGGGCTACATTGGCAGGGAGGGGGGCCACAGGCATCAGTGGATGGGTTAGGGGGCTGGTGGGGATGGCACCGTCTGCGTGACTCGCGTGCACGCGGGGACCCACGCTG